GGCTGAAACCAAAAAAAAACTTATTATCAAGGCACGTCAAAATAAACAAACAATTAGATAAACAAAAAGCACCAGAACAAACTCAGAAATTGATCAAGATATAAATAGACATTTATTACAAATTTGTGCCATCATTTTTTATAAAATTCTTTGGTAGCTCTCCGCTCATCTCTTCGTCAAATTTTTATTACTCGTAATCGCTCGCTTTCACAAACTTTCCGTAACCGCAGCATTTAGATCACTCGGATCTAAACTTAAATGTGTATAATTTAAGGTGTCAAATAATATATATTTAATATTTGACTATTATATTAAAATTTAACAGTTCTTTTGTTTCTAACTTTGATGTATTTATTAATATAAAATTTAGTAGATTACAACATATACAAAACTTGATTCATGAAATAATGTTTTAATATATTGGAAAAATATATGCATGAAACAATTAATATGTGGAAGATAATATTTTTAAATATTTTAAATAAAAACATAAAATCAATCAATTTTTTTTTGTCTTCTTTGACTCGTTTTTTTAATATATAATATATTAAACGTTAATACCATCTCTAATATATGTTCTATTTTTTTCTATAAAATATAAGTGGATTTCTCTCCACCTATTTCTATTTTATATAAAAAAATAAAAATTATTACTTTTTCCTCTAATTATAGGGAAAAAAATAATTTTCCAATTTATACTATAAATTAGAAGATTTAAAATAAAAGTGGGTTGGAGATGCTTTAAACCAACAATATAGTCTGAGATTTTTTATGAAATACTAGAGTTGTAAAGATTCATTCTTACATTTACTTCTACTTATTAATATATACAGTATTATAAAAAATGGTTTGCTAAGAATATACTTATAATTTATTTTCTATCCGTTTATTTTTTGTTTTATTTATAATTTCGAATTCTTACTCTTTAATTTTGTTTGGAAAAGTAGATTCTGAAGTGTATGTGGTTTCACTTTGACTGTTGTTGATGTTGGTGCTCGGTCTATGGTAGAGGTGATCATCTTTAGTTGTTCGTTCATTCCTCACCCCGTGTGAATCAGAACATAGGGATTGATTTTGAAGAGATGCAGGTTCTTCTTCCCACCTAATTTGCGCCCATGCTTTGGCTAGCACGTCTTCCATTGTTCTACATCGATATTTTGTCAGTTTTTTGTATAAGCCTCCATCTTGAAGCAAACCTCTTTTGAATGCTGAGACTGCTGTCGATGTGACACATCCGGGTGTGGATACTTTTTCTTTGTTGAAGCGTGCCAAATAGCTACACAGCGGCCTTCCTTTCCTTTGAACGACCTCATAAAGGTCACCAGTTGTCCTTTCCAAATTCCTGCTGCTTGCAAATTGCTCCACAAAACGGTCAGTCAGTGATGCAAAAGAGTTAATCGACGCGTTAGGTAAGTTTGTAAACCATTGGAGAGCTGTTGCTGCTAGCCCAAACCCAAAAGAGTTTGTAAACTATTGTCCCGTTCATAGAAAAAGTTGGGTGCAAATGAAGAAGAAAATTTAGATGCACTGCATCCAAAAGCAACGACAATAATGTGATCGTTGTTGGTCAAACCAAAAAGCATGATCTCCAAATATTGTGACAATAGTCACCATTCAATAAGCGAGAAGGCATGACCTCAATATGTTATGACTAAAAGTCATTACCTGAAAAACAAAGAGGCATGTTCTCAAGAAAATTGTGACAACAATCACTACTGGGTAAATTGAGAGGCACAACCTCATAATAATATGACAATTAAAGAGCACAGCCCAACAAATTCATAACTGCTTACCAAAAAGGAGACGGATCACAAAACGTTGAAGCTACTTACCCACTGAGGATGCAGATATGAGTTCTTCGCTGCTCACCCATAGAGGAAGCAGGCACATACAAATTCGTAGTTGCTTATCCACGAAAAGGCAACATGCCTGTCTTTGGTCACATGAGACCAATAAAAAAAATGATAAGCTTCCTTTCATTATTATTGTTGAACATTCAATTATATATATCTCTACGTGTGCACCTCATGTGGGACACATGCGGTCAATCTATAAAGGACGAAGATAAACTCTCTTTAAGTTTGTCGTTGCATCTCCCAGTTTCGTCATACTACATATGAACAACCAAAAGGTTTCAGCACTCATGTCATGTGGAAAAAATATTGGTATGTGCAAGTTCAACTTCAGATTTATTTGCTAAAGGGAGATCCCAAAGAACGACTAACACAGATAATAGATTGCTTGTCTGTCGTTCCTAAATTCTTAGGGTCCACGTGGCAATAAAATCTTTATTATGCATATACATACTGCAAACATGTGTTTGTCACTTCTTCAAAAGAAACGGTGAATGACGAATGAAGCGACATGAAGAAAAGATGAATAGTAAAAATTTAACATTGAAGAAAGACCAATTTCACTGACCCGCGGCTGTTGATTTAAACAAGATTACTCTCCAAATTCTTAAAAGAAGTTGAAGAGTAAGGGGCAAGTTGTTGGGTGAAATAAATTCACTAGCCGGTCAATCCTAAAATGGAATTAGTTAATGACGTAGTTGAATAATCATTGCTATCTTTCGGAAGCTCCCAATCCTATATAAAATAGATTATGTCGCTACTAACCAAAGTGGACTGACTGACAATCATCAACCAAAGTCTTTTAGCATCGACAATGACTAGCATTGGCTAATAGCTTGTATCAACAGTTCAGCAGTGACCGACATTTCAAAATAAGTGATCGGATCGTATTTTAGATTAACGATTGACATGAGGTAGTGACACAAAACTTCTTATTCAAAGATAATTAGGAGCAACCGACCTAAGATCCTAGTTCAAAGAGAATTGGAAGCGACCGACATAAGATCCTAATTCAAAAAGAATTATGAAAGATCAACCTAATATCCTTACTTAAAGAGAACTAAGAAGAGCACCCAACAGACAAAATCCAATTCGATTGAAGTTATGACCAAACCCAATTCGGTTGAAGTTAAGACCGATCTATCATGTCCAATCCCATGAGGATTAGGGTTGATATAAACCTATAAATGAAGAGTTTACGGAAGAAGGATATGAGAGACGAATAATAATCCGAGAAAACTCTAAGAGCGATACTACCGCCACTCCCGAACCCGAGACCGACAACGAGTAGTTCTAAGACATACAATATTCTCTAAGGCTAATCTTCGATATTGATTCATTTTACTTCGAAATCCATTGTTTAATAAGATATATTCTTCTCTCTGTATTGATGTCTTTGTTCGAACCGGTTAGAGTTGTTCCAAACAATGATCTGGCGACTGCTTGAGGATTGTGTTTCGAAGAAGGAATGACGATGAAGAATGGAGAAGAGCTGCAAATGGAGGTACAAACAGCGGAACAAATTTCTGCATTCTTCTAAATTCCTTCCATTTACGTTTTTTTTTTTATTTTTAGGTAGAAAAGATGGGACCTACATTTTAGGTGGAATTGGACTTTATTCTGCTGAGATTTAATCCTCCACAAAAAGGAAGAGGAATGGTGAAGCGTAACATTTTTATATTTGTTTCTCATATTTATTGTATTTAAAAAATAAAAGTAATTAAATATATCAGCTACTTTTGTGTGATACTATAACAAACAAGATATTTTCGAAAATTCTAATCAAAAATAAATAAATTGCTAAACATTTAACAACAACAAATTAGATATTTCCAAACTAAAAGATTTATTTGAATCATTTAAAAATAAGTTACAAAAATAGGTAAAACCAACATTTCCTATAAATACATCACCACACCAAAGATTTCAGCCGTAAAAGAAAAACAAAACACAATTTCTATTTATCATAAAACCAGGTTATGAACTAGAAGAAATCTTAGCCATGAGTGAAAGGTAATCGATTCTTTAAGTACTCATAATTTTTATATATTATTTTATTATAGTTTTTTGTAACACTTAATTCATAATTAATCTAGATTTTATATGTAGTTTCCATGATTTGTTAATGTTTTAATACTATAAAGCTTTTTATGTATATGAAGAATTGTATTTGCGTACTTTTTAAAACTGGTAGTATGTAATTGAATTTTGAGAGATGAAATCATATTGTTAATACTTTTGACTGGATCAAGTTTTCTTTACAATTATATATTGTTTATGGATTAAGTTGTCATTAATTGATTACACTGATGTGATTTTTTTTTAAAAATGGAATACAAGGAACAAAAATGGAAACAATGCTGGATCAAGTAACGGGGACGTTCAAAGCGCAAAGATAAATCTGTTGATGAAGCTAATACAAATCGCGAAGCATCAGTAAGTCTAATAACACCCTCTCATATATATAGTTTATAATTTTAAAACTACATATTTATTACTTTTAATTTTTAGAATTACTTATATATAAAATGGCTAAATTTATCTTATTTTCAATTCTTATAATTTAAAATTTATTTAACAAATCAAAATAAAATAACATTTTAAAATAAATAATATTTATTTAGGTTTTACTTTATTTATTAATTCTAAAATTTCAATTTTATACTAATCTATAGAATATTCTACTAAAATATATTTTTGACAGGAAAAAAAATCCTAAGATTGTTTTATATTATATATTTCTCTATAGATTATTCTACTAAAACTATTTTTAAATTTGTATAGAGAATTTACAAATATTAAATTTTATCTGAATAAAATTTATCTGATTAATAGATTTATATAAATCTAAAATTTACAGAAAATCTTAAGATTTATCTAATTAGATATCTCTAGTATGTTTAATTTTCATTTTTAATTTTAATTTATAAAAATATATATGAGTAAAACCTGGTCAAAACAGTTTTTCTATATCAATTAATTTAACTATTAAAAAAAGAGTGTATTTTTCAATTTAGAAATGTTAATTAGATTAGTTTGCCAATTGCCCTATATATATCGATATATACACTTACTTAGATATATACCCTTACTTAGTTTGTGTATTTTTAATTAATATAATTTTTTTTGTATGCAAAATTAAAATAGTGTGTTTGGAGTCTAAAAAATTACGAAATTTTGCTGGAACTTGTGAATGACGAGCTAAAAGCAAAAGGATATATGATTAGACTACCTGATAATCTTGGAAAGAGAAGAGTGGAACAAAATTTTTATGAAACAACCGGCATTAAAGTCAAATGAGAGCCAGAAATAAAAAGCAGAATTGACTATATGCGTAAGCTTCGGCAGTATAACACTATATTAACCAGTCGTACTGGTTTTAGGGTTAATCCTCTAACTGGAAGGTTAGAGATGTCCGAATCTTGGTGGAGCGATCGAATTGCGGTGAGTGCTAAAAATATTACCATATAATATTAGTATTATACACTGAATTTAATTAACAATATTTTAATATTTTTTTAGGAATTTGGAAAAAATGGAAATTTTGTATGAATGCTACAAAGCAAAGCTCTTCCATTTAATGAACCACTCGATCAAATTTTTGGTGAACATGATCTAGTACAAGATGATCGTTATTCACCACACACACTCTGTAAAAACATCCTACAAAGACTTCATCAAGAAGAAAGTGATGATTACATAGAGGTGGAGGAAACACCAGAAGACAATGGGTCCCAATTTCCGATGGAACTAACATCTGATGATGATTTTCCCCGAGCTAGTCAGTCAGCTATCGCTGCTACTAGGGAACAACTACGGAGTTCTCCATCCCGTACAAATAAATCAACTTTGTGTGCTCGAAAGTCTACTACTAGACGTCCTAATCGAAAAAGAATCAACTTCGAGAGCCAAGTTCAAACTGGATTTGAACGTCTTGAAGAGTCTCGAACAAGCTTGTTGGATGTCTTACGGTCGCGGCATAACTCAAAAGCAACTTTTGGTGATGCTGTAGCTGTATTGGAGACATTGCCGGTTCAACCGATGAGGAAATTTTGGTGGGAAGCAAATAGGCTGTTGATGAATGACGAAGATGTTCGTGATGGATTTATGAAATTACAGAGTGAAGAAAATAAAATTCAATTTTTGGAGAACCTAACTGGAGTTGATAGATACGGCTATCCAATTGATATTATCAATCTGAGGGGTACTAGCAGCTCTGCAACTACTTCTCTTCCATCTATGCACTTACAAATTGCAGGAATTAATACTAATGCATCCTCAAGTTTCTCCCAAGGATATGGAATGTTTGATATGTGTTCTTCAGGGACTACTTTCTCATTTTTGCTTGGAGTTGTGCCCTCACCTAACATAATAGGCGAAACTAGAAGTGGCACAAATTAGCTATGTATTATTGCTTTTGCTAGTAGTGGTCAGTGCCAATAAAATATTTTATTTAAAAAATAAAATAATGACTTGTTTTATTTTCATTCAATAAAATTTTATTTTTGTATCACATTCAATAAAAATACACTTTTGAATCATTATAAAATTTTAAAATATTTTTCTAAATTTTTCTGTATTATTTTCAGATATTTCGTATTGCAGAATTGCATTTACGTGGACTTGAAAATTTATCAGATGAAAAAATTACAGAGCTATTATTGCTGGAAGAAGATGAAATTTTATACACTCACATCATTCCTCTGTTGAAGTATTATGGAAAATTCTTTTGCATAGAACCAATTAATCAAAAAAGAGGCAAAGGGTGGCACATTATTCGACAACAAATCTATGAAAATGAGAGTTCATGTCGAATGCTCATACGGATGAGTCCAGAGGCTTTTACAGGTGTGTGAAATTTTAGAGGAGATGTATAATCTACAAGACACGCAAAATATGCATGTTGATGAGAGTGTTGCAATATTTCTCATGATCTGTGGGCAAAATGATACTTAAGGCAATAGAGGTTTAAGATTTGGCCATGCACAAGAGACAATATGTCGAAAGTTTCATGAAGTCCTTGAAGCAATGGAACGAATGGCTGTAGATTATATACTACCACGAACGACACAAGAACTTGAAGCTCAATCAAAGCGTCTTGAAGAAGATATACGATATTGGCCATATTTTGATGGATTTATCGGGGCATTAGATGGGACGCATGTACCTGTTATGGTGACTCCAGGACGAGAATCTATTCAATTTTATAATCGAAAAGAAACTCTGAGTTTCAATGTCTTGGCCATGTGCGACCTAGACATGCTTTTCACATATTGTTTCGTTGGTATGGCAGGATCAGCTCATGATGCACGAGTATTATCAACAGCTATTTGAGATGATCCTATGTTTCCTAAGCCTCCATAAAATATGTATTATCTTGTGGATTCTGGATACGCCAATAGATGTGGATATTTAGCTCCATACCAGAAACAAAGTAGCAGTGGCACACGATATCATCTACAAGAGTTTTGGAATGGTGAACCGCCACAAAATAGCAAGGAAATGTTTAACCGATGGCATGCATCTCGTCGTTCAGTTATAGAACGAACATTTGGTGTTTGGAAGAAAAAATGGAGGGTTTTAAATGAACTTCTAAGGTATAACATTGCAGTTCAAAGACAAGTCATATTTGCTACAATGAGACTTCATAATTTTATTCGGATGAATAATATTGAAGATATTGATTTTGAGGAAGCAGATTTAAAAACGGATTTAGATGAACGACATAATGTCAATGATGATGCAAATAATAATCAAAGTGTTGGTGTTGAAGAAGAAGCAGAAGCCTGAACATATATGAGAACTGTTCTTGATGAAATTGCTAAATTTATGTGGCTCAAAAAAATACGTGGAAGTCATTGTCATTAATATTAGATTTCATTAATATTAGATTACTAAGTTTTTTTTTAACACTGATTTATTAATCTATTGCAAATTATGAGAACTGTTACATCGACGATTCTACAACAGTCAATTCTACCGTCTTATGAAGATCCACGACTAACGGCTCTACCTGCACCTTGCACCATGCTTACCATCATCATATGGAGATCTACGCCTAATGATTCTGCGTGCACCACGCTGAAGATCTCTTGTAAGCTTGCCTCCATTAATTTGTATCATTCTTCATTAATCTGTATAATTAAGAATAAATCGTGCTCTCTGGGATTTGAAACCCAGATCTCCTGGAGTAGAAGCATTAATAAACCCTTATTAAACCATTGAGCTAAGGGGCTTCCACAATTACTAAGTTTATGTAGCTAAAAAAATTGTGGATTTTTTTTAATTAATTTTAGTATTCCACTTTGTTCTTCTAGATAATTACTATTTGTCTTTATAAATTATTCATCTACCATTGTTCCTCTAATTTATTTTATTCCTCTAACTAACTTCGGTTTTAACTGGTGACCATAAAAATAATAATAGAAATGAATAGGAAAAGGAATAAAATGAACAAAATAATAGAAATTATTGTTCTTTCTAATTTTTTATAGGGAATATATTAATATTATAGTTCCTAAAACATAAGAAATTAGAAGGAATCATGAGTACAATATATTCTTTTTAAATGGTGTATTTTTTAAGGAATGATAAGGAATTTAGTATTCCTTTCCATTCCTTATGGTCACCAGTTAGAGCCTTCGTTCCACTCGTTTTTATTCCACTCATCGCTATTCCTACTATTCTATTTTTTCCACTTGTGTACTTCCATTATTTTTTAAAAATAAATAGAGATCTAAAATTTGTTTGTAGAGTACGCTTCTCGTGGATATTTGGGTGATTGAGTTGGGAAATCCGGCGAGGCTTTTCTGGAATTTGAATTGCGTTGAATCACGAGATCTATTGTGTAAGAATTATGTCACACCCACATGTATGGATTTTCTCATTGCGATGTGAAGCTAGAGAATATTTTGATTATTGGTGGCGGGGATGTGAAAGTTAGGATTTCGGGTTAGCGAAACAGACAAGTGAAATTGGGGTTGTGATCATAGATACACCTCTGAACATGGCATCGGAATCGGGTAATCACGACGAGTTCGAGTCTTCGACGAATATTTGGACACTGGATTCTCTGTTGTCGATATGTCGAGTGGCAAAACAACATGTTGTTTTGGAGGAAAGGATTACGAATGCTAAGTCTTTAAATTAATGGTTCGTATTTGCTCCGGCGATGAAGTTCCTAAAATTCTGGGGAAATTGTCTAAGGAATGGACAGATTTCGTGAGTAAGTGCTTCGTTAAAAACCCGGCGGAGAGATGGACCAGTCAATCGGACCATACATTCTTAGCTGTTGATGATGATGACAGTTAGTTGATAGTAATAGTGGTTTCTTTAGGTGTGGTGACGAAGACGAGGCTATGGTTTCGATTTCATTGAGAGATTGGTTCAATCTCCAGTTAACGATTTGGTTATGATTTGTTCACTGATTAATTATCCTCCATATAGTTATTTGGTACGTTCGCCGGAGGTAAAGAAGGGTATTACTCACCATTTCACCAAGAATGCATCTGATTGGTTGGTTTCATGTGATTGGGTCAGCGTCAGGTTATGAAAGTAGTTTTAGTATTCACGGTTCAATCTCCGATTATTATGGATTTATTAGAATTCACGGTTTATTACTGAACGTTTAGTAACAATATTTTCCTAATGCATATTGTTAAAATTAAAAGATACAAACATGATATATGCTTTCGCTTATACTTTATGCACTAACAACTTTAGTAACAAGATCTTCCCAACAAAAGCATAGCATTCTATTTTGTTGAGTATAAAGATATAGGAATTTATGTGTATACACTATATTTCTCATTTCTTGCAAGATATATTATACATTATTCGCTCAATGTTTTAAGGATGTGCATACATAATCATCATGGTCCTATGTCTGCTTTTTTTGTAATATAGTGGTAAGGAGTAAACATGTAAGTTAAGATTTCATTCATTTTTTACTTGAAGTCTATAAAACCTCTTTACAAATGGATAATGGTTTCAAATCTCATAATCATTTTGAAGAAAGACTAAAGATTTATAAGCCTTAGAGATTTCTAATATTAACTTTTCTTGTGCGTTTGTTCATAAACAGAATATTTTTAATTCAATAAAGTTAGCTCTTAGTTATTGGATAACGAATAAAAAAAAAAAACTATCTTTCGATATAGCATTTTAAAAATCTAACTATCAAGTTATGGATGTAACATTGTATCTTTTTTTGCACAGCCATAGTCTATGGCTCAAATGGTTAAGAAACAAAAGAAGCATTCAAACAGTTTGATTTCTATTAGAATATTTATTCTGAAGAATTCATACAATGATGATTTTATACGACTCCAAAACGCATTGAAAGCTTATAGTGATATAGTATGTACTTTTGGAAAACAAATCACTGATCGCTACAATGGCAACGATATTCTTGTAAAAATTTATATCTTAGTTGATGGCTTAATGATTCCTTGTCACTTGTAGTGTTTTCAACTGCCACTCAAGTTAATCATATATTTGGTCATGCGTTTATACATGTTATTTGATTATAAATAATGTTAGATATGAAATGCTGACCTGTGTCGAGTCAAAGATGTTAAAGGTCCAAAAACTTTAAGCAAGTAAGAACATAAGATTTGCAAAAAAAAAAAAAAGAACGTAAGAAGATTATTTCGCAGATTAAAATCTACTTTATTTCTTTTTTTTCTTTTCTTTGTAATATAGAAGAAATACAAGGAAAATATAATCATTGATCTCTATATAAAGAAAACTAGATGTTGGATCCGCGCACTTGCGCAGATTTCTTTTCATAAAATGTTTTTAGACTATATTAAAAATCGGTTTATATTAAACTTTTGATAAAAAAAATTCAGCTTATATTATTAAATCCAAAATTGTGGCCCAAACATAATTTTTTTATTAGATTATATAAACTATTTTTATATTATGGTTTTATGTTCTTAAAATTATTTAGGCTTGATTTCTATAAAAAAAAATATTTTGATTAGCGGATTTCCGGATAAAATTTGTAACAAATATTTTCAAAGTATTATGTTTTATAATGCAAGAGAGATTTTATTTTTTTGTAATTAAGATTTCAATATTTACTTAGCTTTTGTTTGTTTTTTTTTAAATATCTGAATACAAAATTTATAATATCTCAAAATTTGAATATTTGGATGCAGCATTTGAATCTCAAAAATTAAAAAAACCCAAAATACATTTTGAATTTAAACCATATAATCAAATTTTTTCGTTGTCAAAACTATAAAATCAGAGTTTTCGATCAAAATAAAAAGCTGCATTTTCCCGCAAAATACTAAAATTACGTTGTTGTACCATAATAGGGAATTCTCATAGAAACTGTAAAAATAGCATTTTCTATCAAACAGTATTTTTCTACCAAAATTGTAAACTCACAT